CATAGTGTTTCTTAGATATTTATCTCTTTGTTCCAGTATTTGCCAGATTGTTGATATATATTTTTTTGTAGTAATCTCATATCTTCATTTCTGTCATATTATCATAGATTCTTTAATTTCTGGATTTGTATGTACTAAATTCTTTCTCTTTCCTCCCTCCCTTCTTCCTCTTTTTGGTGAGTGACCTATGCTAAATGTTGTCGTTTGTCTTTTAAAAGAACAAGGTCTTAGTTTCATGGATCTTCGTCTGTTGTTTCTTTAGTCTCTCAATCTTCTCTGACCCGTTGTTTCTTTCTTCTAAGTGGGTCTCATTTGTTCTCTTTTTTCTAATTCTTTTAGCTAAAAACACATGTATTGTTCTTTAGTTTTTTTCTCTTATTTCTTAATATGAAGCCTGTATTTGCATGACTCTTAGAACATTTTTCTGCATTCATAAATTTTAGTAATTGTATTTCACTTTATTTATTTCTCACAAGGTATTTTTTTATCCCTCCTTTTGATTTTCTTCTTTGGTCACTGTTTCTTCAGGGAGCATACTGTTAATCTCACATATCTGTGTATTTTTTATAGTTTCCTTTATAGTTGATTTGTCATGTGAGCCTGGTGTGGTGAAAAAATATGTAATCTGATTTTAATTTTTTTTAAATCTTTTGAGGAGTTGTTTGTAACCCAACGCATAAGATCTCTCTTGAAGTGATTCCATGTGCCTAGGAAAGAATGCTGTAGTTATGCTTTGCTTCCTGGACCCAGAATGTTTTATATAAATCTAATGCGTAGTCCATCTAGTCCAATATCATTTAAGCAATGTCTTCCTGTTGATCTTTTTATTTTGAGTGATCTATCCACTAATATAATGTCAGGATGTCACCTCGCATGATTGTTACTGTATTCTTTCTTGAGGTCTGTAATATTTGCTTTTTTGACACACTACTCACTGGTTGTCCAGTCATTATGTTATAAATGTTATACCCTGATATTGGTACCTCTTTATCATTTTGCAATACCTCCTTTTTTCTATTTTTCAAAAAAAAGATGTCATTTATTATTTTTTCTAATTCAGTATAGTTAACTTGGTGGTATATTAGGTTTCAGCAGTGTACAATAGGGTGATTCAACAATTCTATTCCCCAGTATGCGTGCTTTGCATGTTTAATCCTTCTCTATTTCATTCATCCCTACCCACCTCCTCTCTTGGTACAGAGGGAGAAGCTAGAATGAAGTAAGAGTCTGTGTTTTGTTTTGGTTTTAATATTGTTTTTTGGTTTGTTTCTTTTGCGCTCTCTCCTCTCTCTGTCTCTGTCTCTATTTCTCTGTCTTTCTCTCTTCTGTCTCCCTTCCTTCCTTTTCTTGACATATAAGTAAATCATAAGAACTTGTCTCCCTCTGATTTACTTCATAGAATTATACTCTACTAGTAACCTGGGTGGCAGCAGTCGATGGTTCAAGCGATCCGACTTCAGCCAGAGTCACCGCATCTCGTAGTCACGGAGTTGACCAGCGTCAGGCTCTGGGCTGATGCGGACGACCTGTTTCTCCATTCTGTCTCCCTCTCTCTCTCTGACCCTCCCCCGTTCGACTGCTGTCTCTCTCTGTCCCAAAAAAAATAAGATGAAACATGAAAAAATTAAAAAAAAAAAAGATTATATAATGCATCCATCTTGAAGGCAACCATGCAAGTTTCATTCTTTTTATGCGATAATATTCACCGTTATCTATACCATGTCTTCTTTATATAATTCATCTATCAGATGAGCACTTGCTCTTCCATAATTTCTTTACTAGAAATAATGTTTCTATAAACTATAGCAGTGCATCAATCTCTTGAATTAATGTTTTCATACTCTTGAGTAAATAGCAATGTAATTACTGGATCGTGTGGTAATTCTCTTTTATTTTCTAAGGAAGCTTCATAGTGTTTGCACCTGCGCACAGTTGCATTTCCTAAGTGACACCAAGTGTTCCTTTTCCTCACATCCTTTCCAACACTTGTTACTTCTTGTCTTTTTTTATGCCATTTAATAAGATGTGAGGTAATTAATGCTTATTTTGGTTTTCATTTGCATTTTCCTGATGATGAGTGATGTTGGCGTCTTTTCATGTGCTGCTTGGCCATACTGGATGTCCTCTTTGGAGAAATGTCGTGATTTCTTCTGCCCGTTTAAATGGGATTTTGATTATTTGGGGGGCAAGTATTGAGGATATATCAGTCGCTTTTATATATTTTGAATACTAACCTTTTGGATATGTCATTTGCAAATATCTTCTCCCATTCAGTAGGTTGTCTTTTAAATTTTGTTTGGATTGTCTTCTTCGTGCAGCTTTTATTTGTGCCCAGTAGGTTTATTTTTGCTTAACAATTTTTCCACCTGAGAATATCTGAGAAAATTATTGACGACGTATCAGAAAAAATTAGTGCCTGTGCTCTCTTCTAGGATTTTATTGTTTGGTCTCACACATTTGATGTCCTCAATCCATTTGAGTTTTGTTTTTGTTTTGTAGTGTAAGAAAGTTTCATTTGTTTGCACTATGCTGTCCACGATCTTCCCAGCACCATTTAAATTCAGCCACCTCTTTTGGCGTTGCATATTCTTTGTATTAATTGCCCTATTTGTCTTTTATATATAATCTTTGTTTAATATATATATGTATTTTAATTTTTTTAAGGTTTGTTTATTTTTCTGAGAGGGGAACTAGTAATCGCAAAATGAGTGGGAGGGGCACAGTGAGAGGAGCGCAGAGCTTCAGCGGGCTCAAGGTTCTGCATGCTGTTCAGCACAGAGCATAACACAGGGGCTTGAACCCGCTGAACGTTTGAATCAGTGAACTGAGGCCAAAAGTGGAGCCGCAATGACTGGGCTACCAGTCCCCAGCAATCTTTGTTTAAAGATCTCTCTTCTGTCCGAGGCGCCTGGGTGAACGGTCAGGTTAGCGAATCCGACTCAGGTCCAGTCGAATCTCGCGTCCGATTGAGCCACTCTAGGTCTGTATGGTCAATCCTCTGGGAAGCGCACCACTTCGTTCGTGTCTCTCTCTCTGATCCCCTCCTTCGCTTATACCGCTCCTTGTCTCAATAAATAAAGCGTCCAAAAAGTCTTGTCTGTAAAGTGTGAGGTACTCTGAGCTTTCTTTTGTTTTTCTCTAGCCAGCATACCTTTCTCCTCCTTTCTCTGTGTCAGTGTACATGGTAGTTGGTCTTCTTTACTTTTCATTCAGTGATGCTCTCTTTTTTGATCGAGAATTTATTCTATTCACATTGAAATTTTTTTAGATGTTTATTAATTTTGAGAGGAGAGAGAGGTGAGGACCCATGGGAGGGCAACTTGAGAGAGAGAGGAAGATAGAGAATCAAAGCAGGTCAGGCTCTGAGTATCAGCCCATGAGCCAACACAACCAAACCATGAACCAGGTGAGGATCTTGACCTGAGCCAAGTCCTGCTTAACCTACTGAATTGCCCAGGTATTAGTCATTTAAAAAGTAATTATTGATGGGTTTGTACCTGTCATTGTTACTTGTTTCCAGGCTGTTGTGCACAGTTCTATGCCTTCCTTCTTCTCTTTCTCCACCTTTTACTTTCTTGTGGTTTGATAACTGTTAGTCTTTTGTGTACTGTAGCTTTTTGGCATGTGTGGTTTACCGTGAAGGGTCACTATAACCATGCTGAAGCATGTGTATGTTTAAGTTGATGAAGATTGTGGGTACTTACATTCTAAAACTCCACATTTTACTCCCTCACCTACGTTTCATGTTTTTGATGTCACCTAATCTTTTTTATTTTATACATTCCTCACTGATTATCATAGGTTACAGTTATTTTATTATTTTTGTCTTCATGCGACTTATTACTACTTTCAGGTATTTTACCTTTACGGATTGAATTATACTTTCACTTTTCTTGTTACTAATAAATGCCCTTTCTTTTCAGGCCTAAAAAAGAAACAACCTTTAACTCAGCAGAGGCTGGGTTTAGTAGTTAGTGAATATTTTTAAAGCTTTTATTGCCTGAAAAAACTCTTTCTCTCTCTTAATTTCCGAAGATAACTGAGAATATAGTCGAGATTTTCCTTCATTTTGAATACTATTGTGTGATTCCCTCCTGGCAGAGGGTTTTGCTGAAAATCTGATAGCCTTGTGGGGGTTCCTCTTTTCACTACAAGTTATGATTTTCTCCTGCTGCTTTTAGATTCCTCTTTAGTGCTTGACTATTTGAATTATCATGTGTCTTGGTGTGGATCTTTTTGAAGTCTCTTCCTATTTGGTTCTGGGCTTCCTAGATCAATTTGCTTCCTTCCGGGTTCGCAGTTTTCAACCATTAGGTCTTCAACAAGTTTGCTTGACCTTTCTTCTGGAACTCTTGGAACACAAAAGTCATTGTCTTTTTGACTCTGTTTTCAGATTAGGCAAGACAGTTACTTCTTCCGAGTCTTGAAGAAGTGGCCTTGTGCACTTTGGACACGTTATGCCCAAAACTTGACCTATAGGGCGCATAAGGTGGCTATGGTCGGTAGGGCCGTCACTTGCAGATCACGTCTCGCCAGTCGTGAGTTGACCCAGCGTTTGATGAGACTCTGGCTGATGGTCCAGAGCCTGGAGCCTGTTGATTCTGTGTCTCCTCTCTCTCTCCTCCCCATTCATGCTCCTGTCTCTCTCTGTCCCAAAAATAAATAAACGTTAAAAAAAAAAAAAAAAAAAAAAAAAATTTAAAACTTGACCTAGCTGTTGGTTGTCTCTCCATCATTTGTGATTGTCTAAGCAGCCTGATTTATTCTTGACAGGTCCCATTTGTGGAGGATGTTGCAAGACCTATCAGTGTTTTAAAGGCAGGGATCCCAATCAGTTTAAGTTTCATTCTAATTGGAAGCCAGACCCTCAGGGAGCAGCTTTTATAGCATGCGAATACAAATATGCCGTCCTCTGTGACTGCAACTGCCATACCCTAGTGGCCTCCAGCCCAGGAGATACAGTGTGCCCTTGGTGACTACTGCAAACATAGGGACTCCAGACAAGTATATGGACTCCTTCCCTGGAGGCCCCGGTGATCTGTAGAGAGGAATAGGGAGAGCACAAAGATGGCGTCCCCCAGCACATGTGCCCTGAGATCAGTTTTGTAGGCTCTAAATGTGTGGCAAATCTGAAGTCTGCTCCTTAGGGTGAAGCTCCAGGATGAGTTAAATAGGCCTTTTCCATAGGAACCCTGGGGGTATGTTTTAGACTGCTGTCTCTGTAGCACCCTGGGAAGTAGAAGTAGCCTACCAAAAACTGTGTTTCTGATTATGGTAGTCCCTTGGGACCCAGAAATGTAAGCCCTCCTTGCTACCAGAGCCAGGTGATCAAAGGGCACCACTTTATGGACTGCTTACCACCAGCTTACCAAGGCAGTGGACTAGGCAATGCAGGACCTGGGCACACCCACTGGCATTAGTAAGGTAGGGAGAGAGTACAGAGCCAGGGTGGGTCTGCAAAGACTACAAGGTAGAGGAAGAGTGTAAAACTGACTCCTGCCAGTGCCTCCATTTCCCGGAGAAGGTCCCACCATACTTCTGCCCCTCTGGCAGATATTTAAGATTAGCAAATGAATCTCCTTCACATATAGTCTACACGTCATTCCAAATGCTGCTATTTTGCTGGTCCTGGGGGCAAGTGATTCTGTATGTGAGCTCTTTGATAGAAGTACCTCTGTTCCCTCCAGCCCTTTCCGTCTCCTGGTTGTAAGACCTGTAGATTTTCCAAGCCAGACGTTTTGGGGGCCCATCTCCCCATCGCAGGTCCGGAGGGTTGGAATGGCTGGTTCGAGATAGGAATTCCTTGCTCCTCAGGCAGAAGCTCCCGGTTTGTGAGATGCTCCCAACTGTGATTCACCACACTGGGGGGTGGGGGTTTGGGGGAGACCATGTCTCTGCTTCTCCTACTCATCTCAATGTGACCCTCTTAGGATTTGTTTGAAGGGTTTGCTCAGCTACTTTTCAGGGTTTTGTTTTGTTTTCAGAGGGAATTGTTCCGTATATAGCTGTAGATTCAGTGTGTCCCCGGGATGAGGTGGGTATAGGAGCTTCCTATTCCACCATCTTGGACAGCCCCCCATAACCTGGGCTTTCAACATATAACTTTTGGAAAAGAAATTTTATTAAGTAGGCTTCATGCCAGCACAGAGCCCAGCACGGAGCTTGAACTCATGACTGTGAGCTCAAGACCTGAGTTGGGATCAAGAGTCAGAGGCTTAACCAACTGAGCCACCCAGGTACCTCAAAAAAAAATTTTTTTAATGCAAAAAATTGCTTTTATACTTGAAGTCTGGGCAAGTAATGGCCAATGAGTATTGTGTGTGTGTGTGCTTCTAAATTCATGTATAACATTTATTTCTTACTGATTTATTGACTTTTCAGTGAGATTTTTTAAAGATAGGTTTTCCCCTTCTAATCTTTTATTTATTCATGACTGTCTCTTGACCTATCATGTGAATGTCTGTGTTTATAGATAGTTCTATGAGGAATGGTCTTCTAGCCTACAAGGTTTTTATTGCTTCAGCCAGCGGGTGGAAGCTTATGTGCATTTAAACATTGACCCATGTTGTTGTTGGCGGCGGTGGTGGTGGTTAGTTATTCAAAAACATCTGTTGATCCCCAGAGAACTTGCCATTCCTACGTGATAGAAGCAGAAGACCAATATTCTACAGACAAGATGTAGTTCCTTCCTGCCATTGAGGAAACTTCACTCTACTTATGAGATATGAACCAAATACACATACATGAGCATCTACAGAATATACAGCTATCTTTACTTTTTCTGTCTTTTCTTGTGTGGTTCCCTCATGGGAACCTCATGGTAGAAAATCCATTTCCCTTGGTGGTGGCACCTTTGTTGACATAATCCCCTAGAATGCGAGAGCAACAAGGAAAATTTACTTAATCGTTAAGTAAGGAAGAATTAAAGAAATCAAGAAGACGTTGATTAAAGAGGTAGATTGCTCTAAGGATGTCCATGTTATCTTGGAATTTATACAGAACAAAATAAAACACTGTACTAAGAAGTGGCTCATAATCAGATATATAACCAAGACTTCAGAATTTTTTTTTAATATTTGGAGAAACGTTAGTAGAAATTTATGGACTGCAACCCAAAGCATAGTCTTCTCAAGAAGGATAGGAGAGTGTCAGAAATGAAATTCTGGGGGCGCCTGGGTGGCTCGGTCGGTTGAGCGGCCGACTTCGGCTCAGGTCATGATCTCGCGGTCCGTGAGTTCGAGCCCTGCATCGGGCTCTGTGCTGACAGCTCAGAGCCTGGAGCCTGTTTCAGATTCTGTGTCTCCCTCTCTCCCTGCCCCTCCCCTGTTCATGCTCTGTCTCTCTCTGTCTCAAAAATAAATAAACGTTTAAAAAAAAAATGAAATTCTGATTGTGTAACCAGGGGAACAGAGAAGGAAAAAGAAATCTAAGGAACTAAGATTTCCATGGCTGCTCATGGAATACGAAAATAAAAGGTTAAAATATGGGAAAAGGTAGGAAGACCCAAGGGTGAAAATAAAGAGTGACACCGACAGTTTATTTTTTAGAGGTCTTGGGTGGCAATTCTGTTTTAGCCTTGTATCATTACGCATCATTATCAAGAACTTGAAAGAGGACATTGGCATCGTATTTATCATGCTTGCCTAAGACATCATAAAACGGGGACTATCCCAAAGCTCTTGACGACCTGGAAGGACCGCATCTCACCAAGGGAAACATTAATTCGTATGTGTAAAGTTACACACTCACATTTAAAAGACATCTGCCTCTAAATGGAAGAGGGAGTGAGCTTCCCAGCAGCACTCACAGTGGCTGACAGGAAGTTCGGCGTGACTCAGTAATGTGGTAATGCCTGCTTGGTAACTTCATTTGATGCTCGAATGCAGATCAAAGATTGTGCTGGTGAACCACACTTGGAATAGTATGTTCCATCTGGGTCCCATACTTAAAGGAAGTGTTGATCAAGCAGAATATGTCCAGCACAAAGGACTACGGTAAGAATGAAAAGGGGGCTAAAACCATATGGAAATACACATATGAAGAGGGACTTAAGCCTGGAGAAGAGATACTCATGGAGCTGTAACAACTGTCTTTGGATTCCAGAAGGTCTGATCTATGGAAGCGTGATTACGCTCCATCTCTGTGTCTAGGAGGGTAGAACCAGGGCATGAGGCTAAGAACTAAGGTGAGGCAGGTTTTTAAGGGTATTAAGAAGACTTTTGGAACATCTAAAATTGTCTGATAGGAAGTTGGTTTCCTCAGGAGGTCTGTATCTTTAGAGATGTGTTCCCTGAAGGCCCGGTTTCCAGGTCCATCAGAGGGCTTTCTGCCTCTACTGCCTTCTCCCTCTCATGGGCTGCAGTAGTCCTCTCAGACCTTCCCTTTCTATCCAGCTTCCATCCATCTAACCCATTCCCCTTCTATCCTTCCCAGGTTCCTTATTCTCTCCCAGACTTTCGAGGCTTCTTCCATCCCCCGGTTCCTTGTTATTACCTATAGTCTCCCCAAGCTCATGCCTAAAGATACCCCTGCTGCCACCTTAGCATGTCAATCTGGAGAACTCGGTCTTTTCCATGAAAGCACAAATCAGTATCTTCTCCCAAGGCCGGTTTAGTGCCTCCCTCATTTGTATTCCACAGAATTCCCTTCCTGCCTTAGCTGGTGCGTTTACCTACGTATGTTGTAAAGATGCACCTACATACCAGTCTTTCTTATAAAATTGTGAGGTCAGTAACTTACTCATCACTGCGCTGTGCTCAGGACACATGCTCTTGGATGAATAAATGTCGAGGAACTCCTGGCAGAGGCGTGGCAGAAAGGACAGACAAGAGAAACATGGGACAAGGAACTTCTGAGGTTCCGGAAGCTCAGCACCTACATGTTTTATGTAGCAGTGTCACTTAAGATGATTCCAAAAGGAGAGTTCTAAAACTTTTAAAGAAATGGTAACCTTAAGAGGCACCTGGATGGCTCAGTCGGTTAAGCGTCCAACTCTTGATTTCAGCTCAGGTCATGATCTCCTTGTTGGTGAGATCGAGTCCTGTGTTGGGCACTGTGACAGCAGCCTGGAGCCTGCTTGGGATTTGTTCATTCATTCAGTCTTTCTCTTTCTCTCTCTCTCTCTCTCTCTCTTCCCCCCTTCCCATTTGCATGCTTTCTCTCTCTCTCTCTCTCAATAAATGAATAAACAAACTTGTTTTAAAAATGATACCTCATTACACTAAATGGCTAGTCATGCTAAGGTGACTGCTTCGAGTGGGTAGCACTGATGTTTTCAGAAGAGTCAGGCACGTTGTTGTACGGTCACATCTGATATGGCAAAGTAGGCAGAACACATGACGTTCTAGAAGAATGTTAATAAGAGTGGAAGCCACTGGAAGGTTTTTTTTTTTTAATCCTATGTAGTTTATTTATTTATTTATTTTGAGAGAGAGAGAGAGAGAACACAAATGGGAAAGGTGCGGAGGGAAAGGGATAGAGAGAGAATTCCAAGCCAGCCTCACACCCCCAGCACAGAGCCTGATGCGGGGCTAGAACTCACGAACTGCGAGATCGTGACCTGAGCCAAAGTGGGACACTGAGCCACCCAGGTGCCCCAGGAAGGTTTGTTTGATGAAATGATTCTGATACTCTGATCCAGCAAGAATTGAGTATTGATGAATATCTTGAAATTAGGACTTTTTGTGGTTTTCAGCCATGATAGTCCCAACCCTGAGGGCATTTGGAATCGTATAGGTCTTGGGGTTGTAGTGGTGTGTGGGAGAAGTCTGGCATTAGTGGACAGTCCTCAGGGATATGAACTTACTACAGTAGGAGATAGTCCAGCAACCAAAGAACTGTCTCACCCAAAGGGACTGTAGCTCTCTTCTCAAGAAACACTAAAGAGGGCAGGATGTACTGATTTGGTGATTTTCTTTCCTCTCTTCCTCTATTGTTTTTCAAACCCATACAGTAAACGGATGTGCTAAAGATCAGCAGATCCATTAGAAAATGGACATCTTGCTTCTGCCAGCGGTTGGTGTTCCCTTTCCGCAATATGG